ATAACAGCCGGAGCCGACTGCAAAAACCAAAAAGGATATGTTCGTGCTCTTCCATGGCAGTGTCGTCGACTGCAAAAAGTTAATTCTAGGGTTTTTTCCTGGTTTACAGTACAGTCTGTGTCTTTCTCCTTCTAAATCTACAAGGGGGTTTTCAGGATTTGGGCTCTTATAAGGCCCAATTTGACTGGTTTTTATGGGCGAAATGGTTGGGCTATGTTTCGAGGCCGAATGGATCCGGTGGAGAGGCCAGAATTATTGATTGGTAAAGCAGATATTATTTTTAGAAAAAATAAAAAGGAAAAAAAGTGGTGGCTGTGCTCTTATGAGCTGTGAATAATTTTGTACGCATATATTTGATTTATTGAGAGCCAATTAAATTAAAAATAATTTTATAAATTAGGCTTAATAACACTTTGGATCCCAAAGGATAGTCAAGTTCTCAATTTGCAGTATGAAAATTAAAATTTCCTCGTTACACCCTCAATTATATATATAAAAAAAAGTATTAATATAATGTGGTTCAAAATCAAACAAAATTTTGCTTTATCCAACAACTGTTTTTGCTATATTTTTCTATTTATATATATAATTATTTGTGTGCTATTCAATTTTATTAAAAACATTTATACCTTTTTTATATGATATGATTGGGGGTACAATATGAGAATGTTCATCTTTTGGAGTGCATTGATAATTTGAAAATCTTCAAATAGTTGAATTTCTTGGATTTTTTGCCTTAAAGGTAAAGGGAAGTCTATGGTACTTTTAACTGTACTGTTTCAATTTTTTGAAGTATAAGTTACAACTAAAGGGCATCATCAACCATGAATTACAATTATTATTAAATGTTAAGTTATAATTTTTAAAGGTCAAGTTATAACTCATAAATGAGAAATTACATCAAATTAAAGAAAATCTATGATCGATCATGTGCTTCTCTCGATAATTTGTAAATTCTAACTTTAAAAGTATAATTTTATCATAAAAAAATATAATTATTGGTACAATACCAAAAAATATTTTCCCATACCGTAGACTTTTTATAAGGGTGTGTTTAGATAATAGGTTTAGAATAAATTGGATGTCAAAAATATAAACTCGTCTATCCAAGCCAAACCCTTTCAACCGATCATGTGGATTTGAGATGTAGATAAATTATATCCATGCCAATGTTTGGTAATCATATTTTCCATCTCCCTAGGACCATGAACAAAGATGATATAACAATATTAATATGATATGTTTTGACTGTTACACTCTTTTAGGTAATCCAATTCATCTTTATGAAGTTATCTGGAGCCCACCCTTTTTTTATGTTATCCAACTAGTACATAATCCCTTTTAACCCACTACCCAAACACCAACTAACGGTAATAGTCTATCAAATTTGATTTCGAACCTAACACAGAAATCCAGGCAAATGGAATCATTTATCAACCAAGTAATTAATGATACAATAATACTTATGATCCGCTCGGTAGATGGATAAATAAAAAGAAGAATAAAAAGCAAGAATGAAATACTTTCATATCCTTCTATGTTTTTGGTAAAAAAAAATGGAAAGTAAGAATGATTAGCTTTTATTATATTTGGTAAGAAATTTTTTTTTTAATTTTTAATNAAGTATTGGCTTCAATTCTCCTTAATAACAATACAATGGATTTTCTTGCTCAAGTATAAAAACCCCCCTCCCCATCTTCACTTCTTTTTTCTTTTCCAGATCTCTCTCTCCCTCGCCCTTTTCTGTTTTGGTGGTGGTGATGAGTTTTGGAGGGTGGTGGTAGGTTTTGGTAGTGATAATGGTGGTGGGTTTTTGGGCTTTTGCAGGGAGTTGGGTGGTAGGTTTCGAGGATGGTGGTGGGTTTTTGCAGGGGTGTTGGGTTTTTGCGGGGGTGTTGAGTTGTGGGTTTTGGGAAGGGGGGGGGGGGGATTTCGGGGG